GCAACTTCCCTTACCACGTTTGTTCCCTTATAAGACCTGGTTTTGGCCGGGCGGTGGTGGCGCACGCCTTTAATCCCAGCACTCGGGAGGCAGAGCCAGGCGGATCTCTGTGAGTTCGAGGCCAGCCTGGACTACCAAGTGAGTTCCAGGAAAGGCGCAAAGCTACACAGAGAAACCCTGTCTCGAAAAACCAAAAAAAAAAAAAAACAAAAAAAAAAAAAAAAAAGGACCTGGTTTTGTAGTTTGGGTCTATATAGATTTACTTTAGGCTAAATATGATCACAGTATACAAAAATATTGTTTTTGTACCAAGAACAATTTGGAAAAGGCAATTGAGGGTTTCCAGAATTAAGTGGACACACCAAATATTACTGACACCATCAATCAGGAAACACATTGAAAATTGGTCACTTTGTTGTTAGAATTTGAGCTACAAATGAGTGTTCAGTATATGAAAAACAAAAACAAAAAACTGAAGTGATTTAAAGATTACGACAGTGTGCTTTAGAAGATAGAACTGGACGGTGACTCAGGAGGCAGAAGCAGGCAGAACTCTGTGAGCTTGAGGCCAGCCTGGTCTACAGAGCAAGTTCCAGGACAGCCAGGGATACACAGAGAAACCCTGTCTCAAATAAACAACAACAACAAAAAAGAAAGGAAGGAAGAAGGAAGGAAGGAAGGAAGGAAGGAAGGAAGGAAGGAAGGAAGGAAGGAAGGGAAGGAGGGAAGGAAGGAAGGAAGGGAAGGAGGGAAGGAAGGGAAGGAAGGAAGGGAAGGAGGGAAGGAAGGGAAGGGAGGGAGGAAGGAAGGAAGGAAGGAAGGAAGGAAGGAAGGAAGGAAGGAAGGAAGGAAGGAAAGAAAGAAAGAAAGAAAGAAAGAAAGAAAGAAAGAAAGAAAGAAAGAAAGAAAGAAAAAAGAGAAAAAAATGTATTGAAGGAAGGCCAAACAGGTTTGTTTTTCTCTTCGAGACAGCGTTTCTCTATGTAACCCTGGCCATCCTGGAACTCTTTGTAGACCAGACTTGGCCTTGAACTCGAGAAATTCGCTGTGCCTGCCTCCCTGATTAAAGGTGTGCACCATCATCACCCAGCAACAGATTTTCATGGAGCAAAGAAATACTCAAGGATTTTTGTGTGTATGGGTGTTTTACCTGCATGTCAGTCTATGCACGCCTGGCCAGTGCCCATGGAGGCCAGAAGTGGATGCTGGAGCCCTTGGGATTAGTTACTCATGAGCCACCATGTGGGTGCTGGGCATTAAACCAGGTCAGTTAACTGCTATGCCATCTCTCTAGCCCCTGGGATTTTTCACCTGTCATTCTAATTATTGGTCATGGAAATAAAGTTGGTGATATCAAAGAAATACTATTTCCCAAACTAATTTCATTTTTTTTTTGGGGGGGGGGTTCAAGACAGGGTTTCTCTGTGTAGTTTTGGTGGCTGTCCTGGATCTCGCTCTGTAGCCCAGGCTGGCCTCAGACTCACAGAGATCTGCCTGGCTCTGCCTCCCTCGTGCTGGGATTAAAGGCGTGCACCACCACCACCTGGCTCATTTTTGTTTTAAAGACAGGGTATCAATATGTAGTGCTGGCTGGCCTGGAACTTATACTGTGTAGACCATGCCTCAAGCCATTACACTTTCTTCCTTTTTCTTCCTAAAGGTGAGGCTTGCATACTAGCTACCTTCTCTGTAACAGAAGGAAAGAGAAAAGTTCCTGTGGCTGGCTGCAGAGTCCAAAAGGGACAGTTAGAAAAACAGAAGAAGTTTAAATTAATCCGAAATGGACAAGTTATTTGGAAGGGTAAGAAGTATTAAAATCTATTTCTAAATCAGTCACCAAATCCTGACTGTGTAGCATCAAAAACCTATGCATTTTTCACTTGCCTAGCTTTAGCTTATGCCATTTCTAACACATAGGCTCCTTCCCAATTAGTTCTGAGGAAACCCAAGGATAGGTCTTGGTTTTGTTAAAAAAAAAAAAAAATCACCTAACTTCTTTGTTTTCTACACTCAGTTCAACCCCTGTATTGTCCTTTTGTCCCAAGGTCCCACCCAACGCACACTAGGAACTCCCTGAGCAGTCTTCAGATTTGCCTGCCATCTTTAGTGGATTTTTTAATACAACCTCAAGTGCCATTTTAAACCACTTTTTTTTTGGAAAAAAAAAAATTTTAAGATTTATTATGTATACAGTGTTCTGCCTGCCATGTACGCCTGCAGGCCAGAAGAGGGCACCAGATCTCATTACAGATGGTTGTGAACCACCATGTGGTTGCTGGGAATTGAACTGAGGACCTCTGGAGGAGCAGTCAGTGCTCTTAACCTCTGAGCCATCTCTCCAGCCCTAAAAAGGTTTTTTTTTTTTTTTTGGTTTTTCGAGACAGGGTTTCTCTGTGTAGCTTTGGAGCCTCTCCTGGATCTCTCTGTAGCCCAGGCTGGCCTCGAACTCACAGAGATCCACCTGCCTCTGCCTCCCGAGTGCTAAGATTAAAGGCGTGTGCCACCACCGACCGGTTTAGACCACTTTTAAAATGGGAGATTTCAGATCTATCAGTTTAACCTTTTAATATTTTTTGGACTTCCCTGGTATTTACTCTTACCTAACGTGTATGTTGGGTAGGGGGGCACAGGCAAATAGTTCAGCAGGTAAAGGCACTTGCCACATAAGCCTGACATCTTGATTTTAATATCCAGAACCCACATGAAGGTAGAGAAGCAAGTTACACCAAACTATTTACCATTTAGTAGATAATTGTTGAATATACTAACTGGCTTTTTTTTTTCCTTTTAAGGCTCATTAACCTCATTGAAACACCATAAAGATGACGTTTCAGTAATCAAAACTGGAATGGACTGTGGTCTTAGTTTAGATGAAGAAAAAGTAGAATTTAAAGTAGGAGATGAAGTTGTTTGTTATGAAGAAAATGAAGTTCCAGCTAAGACTTCTTGGGATCCAGGATTTTAAAAGTACAATAAAAATGTATTGTTTCCTTATTTAAAGAGTGTCTTGATACTTAACACAGGCTGGTAGCAACCTCCTATCTCAGCCTCCCAAGTGCTGTAATTTTAAGCATGCACCACCATGCCTAGCTTCTTTTTCTTATACAGCAAGTATCTTTGCCTTATTGGAGATAAAAATTCATCATAGAGCCAGGCAAGGTATCACATGCCTTTAACCCCAGCACTCAAGAGGCAGAGGCAAGCAGACATCTTGAGTTCAAGGCCAGCCAGAGCTACAAAGAGACCTCAAAAAAAAATAAGATCACCAATGACCACCACCCAAAATTGTCTCCTAAGTTCATGCATACAATGACCACCACCCAAAATTGTCTCCTAAGTTCATGCATACACCAATAGAAAGTATACTTCCTTACACTCTGGATAGCACCCATCTTATGACTCAGGATGCTTTGAATTAGCACCCTGCTTTTTTTTTTTTAGGATTTATTTATTTATGTACATGAGTGCTCTTCTTACACATATGCCTGCATGACAGATGGACCCCACTACAGATGGTTGTAAGCCACCATGTGGGTGCTGGGAATTGGTACTCAGGACCTCTGGAAGAGCAGCCAGTGCTCTTAACCTCTGAACCATCTCTCCAGCCCAAGAGGTGAATTCATCTTTTGTGTGTGACATACTGTGGAGTCTTAAAGTCAAAGGGATAGGGAGGTGGCTTCACTAGTTCCATAAACAGATACTAATCATCCTCTAAGGCACAGGACATCCCCCAACCCCTTACGGAATTGCGACTTAAGTGCCTACAGTGCCAGTCAGGAAAACTAGCATAAACTTAGATGGCCGACATTACAGTGTAACTTCCCTTGTCAATGCAAGCCAAGCCTTTGCCATGCAACTGGCACCTCTCAGGCAGAAACCAAAGGGACTAGTCACATAGCCCAAGAAACATTCTTTAAATATACAATAAAACAACAGTAAACATCAGTTCCTGTCTTTATTTATCCATACACAACTACTTGTCTTCTGGTTTGTTGAAGCAGTAAGTCAGACAACACTTGCCACAGTAATGTCTGTCAAAGTGGCTAGCCATGAAAACTCCAGCACCACACTCATCAGAAGGACACTCTCGACGAAGACGGCTAATTTTGCCATTTTCATCCACCTGAAAAACAAAACTCACTCTAAGACAATTTCACAAAACACATCCTGAAGTCTGATTTAAGTGACTCAAGCCATTAACCTCTGGACCTCACAGTACTAATAATTTCTAGTGCTTTTTAGGGGGTGGAGTGATGGCTCAGTGGTTAAGAGCACATACTGTTCTTGCTGAGTACCTACGTTCAATCCCCTCCCAGCTCCCATATCTGGCAGCTCAATACTGCCTGTAACTCCAGCTCCAAGGGATCTGACATCCCTATCTTTACTCATATGCAAACATATACAAGTATACATAAACAAAAATATTTTACGAAATTCTAGTGCTTAAGTCAGCACTTCTGCAAGTCAACTGCTCAGAACTTGTTCTAAATACACCACTGGTTTTGTTGACACCACACTTAAGCAGCTCACCTTATAGTACTTTAGTACAGCCAACTTAACCTTCTTCCTCTTATGCTTATTCTTCTTGGGAGTGGTGTAAGACTTCTTCTTCCTTTTCTTAGCACCACCACGAAGTCTCAACACAAGATGAAGGGTGGACTCCTGTTAGTGGAAGGATGAAAGAGGCAACAACTACTCTCAAAAGGCTAGGTGTGGTTGTGCGGTTGTGCCTGCAGCAGCAACCACCCTGCCCGCCCACCCCCCAAAGCACTTGGAAGGCGGGGAAAGCTCAGGAATTCAGTTTAAGCACCCTGAGACTACAGGAGATCCCTCTCCACAAACCAAAAAAGATAATCACACATTTTAAAATTTAAAATCAGTAAACAGCTGCAGTGCTTCTCAGTTGTTAGTGGATTCACAGTGCAATCTAACACTATCGTTCCTATTTCTGGGGAGTTTTCCCTCAAACAAACCTTTTGAATATTGTAGTCAGACAAAGTACGGCCATCTTCCAGCTGCTTACCAGCGAAGATCAGCCTCTGCTGATCAGGAGGAATTCCTAATTGCAAGAAAAAAATACTGGGTTTAATCGAACTAGGTGCATGCCAAGCTACAGAAAACCCTCCATCGAACAACTGCTAGCACTGGTCACTGATTTACTGGCTACTAAGCATTTTTCTTAATGTTTGGTATGCGTGAACATTTAATACATGTTAATAGTCTTCGTAATTCAGTCAACAGGTTAAAAAAATTAACTTCTTAAAATTCACACGTGGAAAAAAGAACTCTTGCAGATTTTCCAAGCACTTGTCTGTTAATCTGTTTTCTACCCCACTCAGAGCAAATATACCTAGGTCATACGAGCCAGTTATTTTTCTAGCGACAGAACATTACTTGCCTTCCTTATCCTGGATCTTGGCCTTTACATTTTCTATAGTGTCCGAGGGTTCAACCTACAAGTTTTAATATACAGTTAACATACAGTTACACGGTAAAAACTAGAACACCAATCTCATGAAACGTTAACTTTACACAAACCGAGCAGGGAGGTGGTGAGTCGATACCTATTCGACGAAGGACTCAGTGGACCGCCTCCCTGGAGTTGTACAAGCCAACTCCGTCCCCAGACCCGGGCGAGCGGCGGCCGCCGTGCCACGCGCTCGAGCCTGGCCGGCGAGCAGCACTTCCTGCCGCATCCCTTCCCTCGGCCACTCGGAATGGGCAGGCGCGAACCTTCGGCACCGAAAGCCGAACGCTGGCGCCTGTGAGCAGCCATGCGCAGCTCAGGCGGCACTGAGGCCTCGGTCGGGCCTTGGCTCGCACGCCACCCGCCCTACCTCGAGCGTGATGGTTTTCCCCGTAAGGGTCTTCACGAAAATCTGCATCTTGGCGGCGGCCCCACCTGCGTTCGAAAAGAGACGGGTTAGACCCGAAGAAGGCGTCAGGAGCGACGCAGGAGGCCACAGGCCAGAGCCCGACTGCGGAGCAGACACTCACCACAGATGGCGGATCGGAAAGGAAGAGCCGCGCGGGCCAACGGGGCTTCCCGGCCGAAGGACCCGCCCCTTAGGCGTCCACGCACGTGCCTGCGCGCTGCAACCGAACCGCGGCTGACTAACGCAGTGCCAGACTAGCTCGGGCGCTCCATTTCTCGACGCTCTTTTTCTCATTTTGGTCCTCCGCATGTCCTCGAAACGATGTGCTCAACTTAAAAATGTTTCAAAAGACATTCTTATACAGTCGATGCGACTAAGAGGGGCTTTCCTTTAAAGGGGGCGTGGTAGCATGAGAAGAGAGGTAACAAGTCTATCTGGGAACTGTAGTTTTTCGCTCCTTTTCTTCTTGCTAAAACTACTTGTCCCAAGACGCAGTTCTACACTTCCGGGCTATCTGGTTACAGTCTCTAAGCTCTGGATTCAGGGTTAGAGATTCAGGTGAGGACCTGGGGATGGGGCGGAATGTTTGGCGCGAGGGTAGGGCCGCGCCGGAAATGCCTAGAAAGGAAGGGTTAAGGCCCGGAAAGGCTTTTGAGGCTGAAGGTATTGATCGTGCCGCAATGAGGAGCCGGCCGGGGGTCAGCTGTGCGGGCCCTCAAGAGAAGGGCATGGTCAGCCAACTCCAGGACTGCTGGATCACAGACCAAGTCTTCCAAAGTGCGGGGTACGGCCTTTTCCTTGCAGCCCCCTCCTGGCCCTCAGCTACCTTTTCTCCAGTCTGAGGATGCTTCTGAGCCGCACGCGCTGTCCTAGTGCGAAACGGTTTAATATATAGGAATTTGCATCTTTGCACGTTTTAAAAGCCATACAGTAAGGAAACCTACAGAGTAATTGTTTAGTCCTCGACCACAAATTTGGACGTGGAGATTGCCCATCCGGGGAAAAATACTTAGGAGCATGTGCTGCCCAGGAGAAATAAGCAAAACAGACCACTTAGGAGCAGGTTGCGCCCCCTCCCAGTCCCTCCTCCACCTCACAAACCCAGTGTCCTTTTTTTTTTTTTTTTAAAGATTTTATTTATTTATTATGTATACGATGTTCTGCCTGCATGTATGTCTGCAGGCCAGAAGAGGGCACCAGATCTCATTACAGATGGTTGTGAGCCACCATGTGGTTGCTGGGAATTGAACTCAGGACCTCTGGAAGAGCAGCCAGTGCTCTTAACCTCTGAGCCATCTCTCCAGCCCCCCAGTGTCCTTTTTAATGCACCCTCTTAATGTTTTTTTTTCCTATCCCTAAACGTAGGCGTGCTCCGGTTTTTTGTAAAGAGGATCCATATCTTCCTAATAACCTGTGTCTGCTCTTTCCTCATTTTAGTCTACTAGCTCTGCTGCCTTCAAAATACACATTTTGGCTAGGAAATGGCTCAGTAGATTCAAAGATTGATATGCAAAAACCTGTATTGTAACCCCAGCACCCACTTTAAAAAGCTGCTGTGCCTGGCGGATTCTGTGACCAGATAAGCCAGCAGTGACAGGAGACTCCCTAGAGCTCATTGGCCAGCCAGAGTAGCCAAATTCTCCTGCTTCAGATTCAGTGAGAGTTTGGGGGCTGTGGGGGTGGGGCGCACAGGACATCCTTGTGACACACAAATCTCTTTATTTTTTTTTTTTAGATTTATTTTATTTGTTATGTAAACAGTGTTCTGTCTGTATGTTTGCCTTTTGAAGGACAGGATAGAGCATCAGACCTTATTACAGATGGTTGTGAGCCACCATGTGATTGCTGGGAATTGAACTCAGGACCTCTGGGAGAGCAGTCAATGCTCTTAATCTCTGAGCCATCTCTCCAGCCCGACACACAAATCTCTTAAAATAAGGTAGAGCCATTTGGATGGTTCAGTCAGTTAAGAGAGTTGACATCTGGAGTTCTGTCCTAGGGATCCAAATAGTGGAGAGAACTGACTCCAGCAAGGCAGACTTTCACAGCACTCCCCACCCCCAGACTAACAAATGTTATAACATTTTAAAATGAAAGGTAGCGTGATCCAAGAACACCCCACACACGTGATCCTCCTGTCTCCACACCTGCATGGACCCACAGGAATGTGGACACACACAGAAAAGTAAAAAGTAATAGTGTCATCTACATTATTCAGATACTTCACATTGGGGTTAAAGGTTATCTGAGTTGTAGGGTACTTACCTAGCATGTCTGGGATCCTAGAATTGATATCCAACACTGCAAAGAATAAAATATTTTACCTTCAAAGATAAGGGGCAAGGACATAAGAAGAGAGTTTTGTCAAAGGGAAAAAAGTTGTTGACCCCTTAAAGGGCATGGATATGCCACCAAGATAGCTTGAATTTCTCCTAAAGGTTCTAGGGAGCCACTGCTATTTAGATGTGACCACACATGCCCCAACGATTGTGGCCATCCCCTCTCCTTTGACTTTATATGTTACTATTTGCAATTACATTATCTGTACTCTGACTGGCTTCCTGAATTGTAAGCTCCAAAGAGCCAGGACCTTATCTTATTGCTGAATCCCTAACCATAAAATACAAAATATACATTCAAAAAACAGTGGTTGAACTAATGAGTAAACAAGTTGATTTTCTATTTGAGAAAAGTTTAGCCCAGTGATAAGGCTCGGTGAGCTAAAGCACATTCTGCCAAGCCTGGTGATCTGAGTTCAGTCTCTGGGTCCTCCATAGGAAACAAGCATGCACCTAAGCATACACACAGACACTAAATAACTTTTTGTTTTTGTTTTTCCTGACAAGGTTTCTCTGTATAATAGCCCTGGCTGTCCTGGAATTGACTTTGTAGACCAGGCTGGTCTCAAACTCACAGAAATCTGCCAGACTGCCTCCTGAGTGCTGGGATTAAAGGCATGTGCCACCTTGCCAGGCTCTATATAACTTTTTTTATTTTTTTTAATTTATTTTTTTAAAAGATTTATTTATTTATTATGTATACACTGTTCTGCCTGCATATATGCCTACACACCAGGAGAGGGCACCAGATTTCATTACAGATGGTTGTGAGCCACCATGTGGTTGCTAGGAATTGAACTCAGGACCTCTGGAAGAGCAGCCAATGCTCTTAACCTCTGAGCCGTCTCTCCAGCCCCAACTTTTTTAAATGAAAGACTTTAACTATACATTGTGTCCTTGATGGGACTACTTTATGTCCTCTTGTAAACTGACTTTTTGTTATGCAACTTATCAGTATAAAGATAAATTTAGCTGGGCAGTGGTGGTGCACGCCATTAATCCCAGCACTCAGGAGGCAGAGGCAGGAGGATCTCTGTGAGTTTGAGGCCAGCCTGGTCTACAGAGTTCCAGGACAGGCTCCAAAGCTATACAGAGAAACCTTGTCTCGAAAAAACATTTTAAAAAAAAAAAAGATAAATTTAGTCTTTTACACTTCAAAATTATTATGGTGTCTCCTTTATTTTTTTATTTAATTATTTGTTTATTTGAGATAAGGTCTCACTATGTAGCCCTGGATGGCCTGGATCTCACTGTGTTGACCAACTTAGCCCTCTGCCTTCCAAGTGCTGGAACAGACTGCTGTCCTGATTCTTATGTATGTGGTATTTAAAGTTTGATATTTCAGATAACTGGTTACTAATTATATTGTAAAACATCATAAAGTTAGTTTAAACATTTATTTAAAGCAGCATTATTTATAGTAAAAGTGTTTAATGGTTAATGGGAATGGCTAAAGAATTAATGGAATCTATCACTTTGCAATAAATATTATGTTTAGAGCTTTTTTTTTTTTTTTTTTTTTTTTTTGGTTTTTCGAGACAGGGTTTCTCTGTGTAGCTTTGCGCCTTTCCTGGGACTCACTTGGTAGCCCAGGCTGGCCTCGAACTCACAGAGATCCACCTGCCTCTGCCTCCCGAGTGCTGGGATTAAAGGCGTGTGCCACCACCGCCCGGCTGTTTAGAGCTCTTTAGAAAAAAAATTAAGCATCATATTGTTTTTGAGACAGAGTCTCGCTGTGTAGCCCTGACTGGCCTGGATTTCACTATGTAGACCAAGTTGACCTTGAACTCACAGAGATCCAACTATTTCTGCCTCCCAAGTGCTAGGATTAAAGGTGTGTTCCACCACAGCCAAGAGGTAATTTTAAATTTTTTAGTTTTTATTCTTGGATAGTTTCATATATTTAGTGAATTTTAGTTCTTTTCACTGTCTTATCCGTATTTCTTCTCCCACTGAAAACTTTCTCAACAAGGCCCTTTCTACTTTCTGTATGTGGAGCCACTGAACCACTAACTTTAAATAAGGCTGCCTGAGTGATGGGGGAGAAGGCAAGTATGTGCAAGTGTACATGTATGTATACTTGCCTGCATGTATGTCTGTTGTATCGCTTGCATTCGTGGGGTCAGTGGAGGCCAGAAGAGAGCATCCAATCCTCCCTCCAGCCCCAGAAGTCATGTTTTTGTCGTTGGGGTTTTATTTATTTATTAAACCATGTGGCGCATGCCTATAATTCTGGCACATGGGAGGTAGGGGCAGGAAGGTCTTCAAAGTCATTCTCAGCTACGTAGGGAGTTTAAGACCAGCCAGGTTTGCAAGAACTGTTGTTTCTAGGACAAGAAGCAACTTGTGGTTAAACTGCATTTATGAAAGGGAATTCAATACTGAGTTATGTTCACGACTCTGATTTAGTCCCCAGCATTAAAAAATACAAATTTTTTTAAAGTGTTGAGTTGAAACCTATGATAAAGCGATCATTTAAATCATATTTCTAAGAGGAATCTGACTGGTTTCTAAAGGAAGGCGTGTTTTTCTCTATTCAGTCACCTTTTTGTGTGCGTAACTGGGCGAGGGTGGGAGGCTTGTGTGGAGTTGGTTCTCTGCATCAGCTCAGGTCTTCGGGCTCTCATGGAAGTTCTTTTCCTGATGAGCCGTCTCACTGGCTCTGAGGGAGAGTTCTTAACTGTCTGGCATATTCTGAAGTATAGCAATTATCAGTAGAACAGCATGGGCATTTTAACTCATTGACTGAAATGTTTATCTCAGTGACAGGTCCCTAAGAATGTTTTTGGAAACATGCATATTTTTAAATTGAATTTTGACTTGAGAGTTGTAGGCTTATAGATTAACTGATGGTCATGTTTTATTTCAGGCTTACTAAAGTTTTTTGGCTTTGTTGCAAAAGAAGGTCAAAGTTTAATTTTTCTCCGGTGAACAAGCTTACAGATTAAGATTTATGTCATTCCAAGAAGTAAACAAACATGCAGTTCTCCCTCCTATCATTAGTAGAAGTGACAAGGAGTTTTTGGAAAGCATGCAAAGATACATAACTACAGAAACCGAAAGAGTGGGCTGCAATGAGGAAGGACCTGCTGATGAGTATTACACCATCTACCGAAATGTTTTCGATAAGGTAACATGATGCTCTTTAAGACGGAACGTTTCCAAGAGATTGTACATTACCTAGTTTAACTACTGCCTGAGAAGTACTGCTGCCTGATTGACCACATTATGTATACTACTCTGGAGAAGCTCATCCAGTTTGTTAAACCAGGGTGAATGGGGGAAAGTTTAGTGCTGCATTTACATTTCCCGACTGCTAGTTAGAGTCACTTATTTTAGTTTAGAGAGCTATTTTTTGTTGTTGTTTTGTTTTGTTTGTCAACAACTTGGCTATGCCCTCTGGTAGTCATGTTTACCCTTTCCTGTTAAGGTGCCATCTGATTTGCTAGAATTTGCTTTGTGAACAAGAACTAGTAGTTTGTGTTCTAGGTTTATTTCTGTGTCACTAAAATCTTGGTTTAGATAGGATATGGCATGTTAAATGAAACCTTCAGCCAGGTGCTGTGCCGTATGCCAGTAATCCTAGCTGGTAGAAAGGCTGAGGCTGGAAGATCCCGTGCAGCCAGGAGTTGGAGGCCACCAGCAAAATAAGGACGTGATTCAGCTCAGAATCAATGACTGAATCAACCGAAAGCTTCATCTAGACAGTCTGAGTCCTGTTAGAGGGCATAGAGGGTTTGACTGATTTTAACACTGGGAATAACGGACTGGATTAGAGAACAGTGCAGCTTTATATGGCATGTCCGATTTTTGTTCTTTGCAATTTTAGAAACAACTGTCTCCTTTTGAACAACTGCAGTTTGTTGATTAATTCTAAATCTTTGCCTAGGATTTTCTTTCTTTTTTTTCTTTAAATTTATTTTATGTACATTGGTGTAAGGTGTCAGATTCCCTGGAACTGGAGTTACAAACAGTTGTGAGCTGCCATGTGGTTGCTGGGAGTTGAACCAGGGTCCCCTGGAAGAGCAACCAGAGCTCTTAACCACTGAGCTGTCTCTCCAGCCCCGCCTAGCATTTTCTTTATCAGCCCTTGGAAGATGCCCTGACAACAAAAGTAGAATCATCATCCTTTCCTCTTTGCTTAGAGGAAGAATGTACCCCAAGACTTGTATACCACTGTCCCAGAATAAAACACACAAAGCAGAACAGGAACTCAGTCTTACAGGAACTCACTCTGTAGACTAGGCTAGCTTCAAATGTGCAGAGATGTGCCTGCTTCTGCCTCCCAAGGGAAACTCAGTCTTCTGATTAATTTTTAAACATTCCACTGAGTTTTATTTCTTGTGTAAATAAAAACCTAGTTCCTCCTGAGGATCTTTAAGCAGTTAATGGTTGCTGTAGGGGAGAAAGAGACTTTTTCTTCAGTGTTGTAGCCTAAATTGCTTTATGCTTTTACAAATAGTCTCTTCACTTATGCTCATTTAAGCAACCTAATTAAACTCATTGGATCACACACAAAAAAATTAAAATTAAGGTAGAAGTAGAAAGTGTTAGGGAAAAGGAAGGGGATTAAAATTAAAACACATGTATGGAAATGTCATTTGAAACTTTTATTATTATCTGTGATGAGTATGTGCTAAAGAAGACTGTTGTAAAAGCCTAATTCCTCACTCTAAGGAAAAGTCAGAGACAGGGAATGTAGCTTGGGCAGCAGGCTTAAGGCTCTTGGTTACACCCTCAGCACCACATGGTTTAACTCTGGCATGGTGGTACACACCTGTAATCCCAACACTTTGGAGGTGGGGGCAAGAATATCAAAAGTTCAACGTCATCCTTAGCTACATAGTGAGTTGAAGACCATCTTGGGACATATGAAACCAAAGGAAAAGAAAGGAAGGGGGAAAAGAGAAAGTACAAAGAGCGATCTGTACCCACCAAGGAAAGAAGAAAGCGCAGAGTCTAGACAAATGCTGTAAAAGAACCACATAGGCTAGCTGTGAGCGGGTAAGGAGTGGTGGGGACCACAGGAAAGTGAAGAACCAACCCAGTGAAAGTTCCATTTGCCTTAACGGGGCTTCTGTACTGTTAGACTCTCAGAATTTTTGAGAAGCTGTAAGTAGATTAGTGGTAAAAGGTCCCAAACTTTAAAATGTTTTTGTGTAAGGTGAAATTGCCAGCCCTGTTCTGCAGGTGGTATGCCAGCCTGCATCCTCCACTTGAATGCTTTTCTTTATATTCCAAAAGGTATCCACGTGTATTCTACTGAGATCTGTTTCTTCTAGCACACTGACAAGGTCACTGATCATGGAGTCACTACAGTGTATTAATTACCCATTAATGTGTCTTAGCTGCATTATTGGAGCACATTACAGGATCATGTGAGATGGAAGCTGAGCAGGAACAAGTAGCAGAAGGCTGAACATGGAAAACCTTTCCTCAAAAACAGTTCCTGGTTGGGGTGAATAGGCAGTGTGGGTATGAAAAACAAAAAAGGCACTGCATTTTCTCAGATACCTTTTCCTGGTACTTGCTACAGATTAATGACCTCTCCAGTCCACAGGTGGTAAAATGGATGTCTTCCTGGATAACTTTCTTTAGATACTGTTTAGCTAAGGAAAACTCATGGAGGATAACACACCCAAGAAATGCAGATAAACAAGCATAATTTCAGATTTCAGAGAAAATTTTGGATTGATTACCTTTATTCCCTATATATCATCACTATTTGGAAAACAAATTAAAAATTTTCTGTTTGTTTCTTAACCTGTTTAAAATTTTTGACAATTTATTTTTGTGTGAGTGATGCATATACAAGATTAAGGGGGGAAAAGCCCTAATAAAGAGGTGTGTGCTGAGGAGTCAGCCCCTCACATCGAGACCTGTCCTTTCTGCAGGCACTTAGTTTCCTTGTTAACCTTTCTACGGTTCTTTTCCTCTGCTATCCTTTCTGACAGATGTTTTGCTTAAATATTATTGGAAACCATGAATATGTAGTGATGAGAATTGTTTTCACAGCTGTTTTTGACATGTTGCGAATAAAGATGCAATTAGGAACTCTGACCTGATTTTCCTTGTGGAGGTAAATGAGTTCAGATTGCAATATCTCAGTGGTGACTTGAGAGATTGCTCAGTGGTCAGGAGCACACCCTACTTTTCCAGAGGACCTGAGTTTGGTTCTCAGCACCTACATCAGGTAGTTCAGAACCACCTGTAACTCTAGCTCCAGGGGATCTGAAGCTTCTGGTTCCTGCAGGCACCTGCACTCACATGCACACTCCTAAACACAGACACATACATACACATAATTAATGTAGTACGAAAGATAATATGTAAATGAAGTCAAGAGGCAATTTTAATGGAGTAAAAGTACATAATTAAAAGATCTACAGTTGGAAATGTAGACCTAGTACTGTATTAGCCCATGTCTCACGTATGAATTCATATCAAGTATAAGAAAGCCTTTCTCATAGTTAGGATCACAATATCCACATAGTGACCCACAGAGAGCGTGCATTTGGTGGTTATTGTTTTTAGTGCCTACTCATGTTGAGTTTGCGGTAAGATATTTATATTTCTAACTAATAATCATGACTCACCTAAAAATAACATGCTTAAAAGGCTTTTGATCACAGTGTCTTCTGTTAAAAAAAAATCAGTACCACAAACAGAAAAATCGTATTTCAGGTAATAGACTATGTCAGTGCATACAAGTCCATTCTTACTTCAATCAAAAAAGAATATGATGCCTTTATTGAGACAATAAAGAAAGGCCGAAGAACTGCTTATTATCTTCATGGAAAACTTAAAGTTTTGGCAGCAGAGCCCACAGCGTTGGTATACCACCAGAGAAGAGCCTTTCAACTTGAAGCAAAGTGAGTATGTCAGTCACTAGCCAGAAAGGTGTCCTGCTACTTGATGATAAGAATCGGTTGGTCTTTAGTTTTACTGTTTGGTTTTATTATTTTGAGACATGATATCACTATTTAGCCTAAGCTAGCCATGAATTCACCAGGCTGGCCTTGCTCAAGACCCTCAGCCTTCAAGTGCTATAACCTTATAAATTTATATACCTTTAATTAAATTGTTATTTTTTTCTTGTATAATATTAGCGGGAGCAGCCTTAATATTATACATCCCAGGGGCTCAGGAGAGAGAACTACTAACGGCGAGGACTATTTTCAGGAAATAGAATCTCAGCACACCAAGCTCTATAGTCCACTTGCTTTAATTCCTCTGGCATAACATCCTATTTACACAGCTTCAGTTCTGTTCTTGTGCCTAGCTCTTTTCTTGCCCGATTTCTCTATATTTATCTACTGCTCCCTCTTAAGTTCTATCTTAATTCTCTCATCTTAATTCTGCCTCATCTAGGTCCTTTTCATCTTGTTCTTACCCAGCTAGTATTTCCCCATCTGACTCTTCCTCATCTTCCATCTTGTCCACATGTACTCTCTTCTAGCCCTTCAATCTAGTTCTTCCCCATCTCAGTTTGTTCCTCTCAAGTTCTTACCCATCTAGTTCTTCCATTCTCTTTTCTCTCTTCCATCCTCTTGTGCCCTGGAAGTCCTGGTATATATACACTTACAAGCAGTATTCCCTTAGCAGTGCAAAGCCAGGCTTCCAGAGTCAAAAGGAGGGGTGATAAGAATCACATAGAGAGGCAATAACCATTAATTATCATTTGCAACCCCAAAGGGAAGTGGCCAATGGGGAAATGAATTAACTAAAGGCTAAATTTGGGTAATGTCTAAGAAGAGGGATCTTATTTGCTCAACTATAACCTCAAACGTGATTGGTAGAAAATGTTAAGAATCTGTAAGTTGCTAGGTCAGTGGGAGAAAATAAAACTGTCTTCTTTTTCCTGTGGCTCCTATCTGTCCAAGCTATCTGCCGTTTTTCTGCAGGGTGGGGGAAAGTGTGCCCAGTTGCTAGGCAACCTGTGTACAGCTAGATGCCTCTGGTCATAGTTAAAGGGAGATCTGGAACTAGAGGTAAGGTTTGGGAAAGTAGAAAGTAAAGCTTAATTGGCACATCAGCCAGGCCTTCTCAAACTGGTAGCCTGGATGCTTAAGTCTGTTCTTAGAGAGTACAGAGGTATCTCTGATAAGGTACTTTCCTCCATCTGGGGATAGACCTGGCCGGATGCTGCCAATGAAAATAATTACAGGGAGGCTTGAACTGGGGTTCTGGCTGTACATAGCTGTCAGCACAGAAAGTTATCTAAATATTCCTAGAAGTGGTTAGGTAAGGAGTTAGAGGTCTATAAAGTTAGTAAGGCTGTGAGAAAGGAGAGTCCGAGCTAAATTGTGTAAAGCTATTACTTAACGTCCACCTGACCTAGGCGGTGTCTCCTTGTGGAATTTATCTTAAATCAGGAGACTTTCATGTGGACTGTTATTACTGCTCGTCCTTGAAAGTGGCTAAGGGAAAAAAAAAAAAAGTGGCCAAGGGAGATATCTGATTCCAGAGAAAGCCTTTCCTGAGGTAGTTCTTCAAATACCTGGAATGTGTATGTCCAGAGAGTGATCAGTCCACATTGTTAGCCCTTCTTAGAGAAAAGACAATTGGGAAAACTATGAAAGCACACATGATTTTCATAACAGAAGACAACTGATATATAACAAGCCAAATAACACCAAAAACTCCTTGGAATTTGGCTTCCTCTGGAGGAATTCCCTGATCCCTCCAGGTAGTGACTTTGCCATAACCAGCTGAGTTCTTGTGATATATTCCTGTGGCCTGCAGCAATTTTTAAAGCTATAGTTTTATATTCCCTTCTACCAATTGTATTATATGTATTTTAAGTAAAACTATTAATTTTGCTTGATTTCATGATCCCCCTTAGTATAGAGAAGGTACGTTGTGTTATCATGAAAGGAGTGAAGTCATTTCATGCATGGACAATTTGACAATTTCACGATTCCCATCAGAACTACAGCACTTCATCCTGTGATCCCCAACAATAAGTGACCCACCATATAATGAAATGTTCCTTAAAAATAGATACTATTTTTGGACTTCTGGCCACCAGAATGATGAGAAGATGTTACTTTAAGTCACAAAATTTATAATAATTGTATCAATAGCCCCCAGCAAAATAACAGTTTTCTTTTTTCTTTTCTTTTTTTTTTTTTTTGTTTGTTTAAAGCTTTTTCTTTAAGCCTAGTGGGATGGTTCACACCTGTAATCCAGCACTGAAGGAGCAGGATCACAAATTCAAAGCCAAGTTTAGCTACATGAGACCCTTTCAAAAGAAAAGAAAACTAAAAATGCTTTTTCAGTTACTAAAGGGAATAGATGTTGTTTTGTGGTCAGATTATAGCTAATGTTTGTTAATTTGCAGTAATAGTGCTTGCTTTCATTGGCACTCTGCATGGAAAGTGTTCCCTATTTGTGTCAGCTCTCTGTAGGCATTCTTTCTAAACATCTAGTTCACAATGGTTCAAATTGCAATTAGCCAAATAAAGCAACAATCTAGTCTGTTTTACTCTAACTATTATGATTCAGGAATTAAATTGGTGCAGCAAGCATACAAAAGCATTTGTTTTTTTTTTTTCAGAGTGAGAATTATTGAAAATAATTCCACAGTGATTCAGTTGCAAATAGATGAGATGAAACAGTTGAGAGCAGAGTATGACAAGAAAGAAGTGAAGCTCTGTTCTTCTACCAGGCAGCTCTGGAGACCAATCCCAGGTGCAAAGTCTCATTTAAAATCCCATTTCAGAGCCAGGAAGTGGTGGCGAACACCTTTAATCCCGACACTCCAGAGGCAGAGGCAGGCGAATCTCTGTGAGTTCAAGGCCAGCCTGGTCTACAGAGTTCCAGGACAGGCACCAAAGCTACACAGAGAAACCCTGTCTGGAAAAAAAAAATAAATAAATACAAACAAACAAACAAAATCCTGTTTCAGAGAAATCCCCAGTGTGTCCAATTGGCTGCCTCTTACACAAACATAAAAATTTCTTACAAAAAAATTAGTACAATGTGCTAGTATGTGAGTATCTTTGGTTGTGTGTTGTATAAGCAACATTAGACAGGGTCCAGTAGATACTCAAGAAAGAGCAGACTGGAAGCAACTCTGAAAGATGTCCTGACTGCAATCTGGCCAGCTCCCAGTCAGAGGCCCGCTCATCAATTCAGCATGACTTGAGAATTATTAAAAATAATAGTAGAAATTCTTGGGCTTGGTGAGATTAGTAAAGTGCCTGGTGTGCAAACTTGGCATTCAGACCCCTCTCCCCAGGTAAAAGCCAGTGTCCACTCTAATCCATTGCTGGGGTGGGCAGAGAGACAGGCAAAAACAAGTGGGTCCCTAGAACTTGAGGAAGACACCTCATATAAACCATGTATTTACACACGTGTATGTATACCTTCACACACACACACACACACACACACACACACACCATTAGATCTCATCTCAGACTTACTATGTCAGAAACTTGGTGAAGGAGTCTGTTGGGTGATGTCTGAAGTTCTGGTTATTCTGATACACTCTAAAATTTGAGAGCCACTGGTATATTAAAAATGGTAGTGTATTAAGTTTGCTGAATGTTATTCATGGTGATGTCAGCATTCACTGGTTTCATGTTTTCATGACTTTAATATAGAGTGAGAGGATAACAAAGTTGCAGCCATCTTACAGAAGGATCAGACGGGGCAGCAGGCCCTTGGACAAATTATTCTAAAAACCCACCAGAGGATGTGCTGCCCTTCTGCCCCCAGAGCCAGACAATTAGGAACTGCATGAAAACAAGTTCCAGACATTTCCTGCCATAACCTAAAGGATATGATATAACATAACTGGCATAATAAACAAAGCACCAGATATGTCCTGTGGGATGTTTTCTGCTGTTCTAGACTGTATACCATAGCTGTCAGAGGGAATGAGTTTCCTGCAGATAAAGTGGGATGTCTAACTGTCAGAGGAAATGGGTCTGCTCGTGATACAGATGCGATGTCATAAACTGCTAGAGGATATGGCAATTTCCTTGTAGCTGCAACGCTCCAATCAGTTCAAACCAAGTGTCTCTAACCTGAAGTGAGCACCAATCCTGAGCTTATAACTATATAGAGTTGGAATTCCCCTAGACTCCCGACCCTAACCACTATAAAAATCATGTCCTGTTCCTGCTTGGGGTCCCTCTCACTCCACCACTGAGACGATGAGGGGCCCAGGTTTAAACTCTCAAAGACTCTTTGCTTTTGCATTCTAATTGGTCTCTTGGTGGTCTTTGGGGACATCAGACTTTTGGGTGCAACATAGAGTAGTCTTGGCTTCATCCAGGACTCAGAGAGATTAGTATGATGAATAGACTGTGACTTACAAGACTGAGGATAGTAAACTGAGGTCAGTAACTTCAGATCTTAAAGGGGTTTTGCTTAGTGTTTATCCAGAGGTAGAACCAGTAGGTAGAAGCTTCAGGAAGATAGATTTGGCCTAAATTGAAGAAGCTGTGTTTTGAGGTAAGGAACTATTCTAATACTACAAAATTTCAACCTAAGTTGTCAAATCCTCTTGCACTTGGTAATAGTAGGGATTATATTTACTTTCAAATGCAAAATTGTGACTAGCAAACTCCAAATAATAAATGTAAATTCATAGCACATTGGCTGACTGCCAAGAAGATTTAGGGCAGAGAATGCTTAAAATCAAAAAGGGTTACTCCTGAGGGTGGAGAAATTCTGGGGGGGCTGAATTTGAATGTGTGTCTCTTTTTTTAAAATGTTTTAGTTTTTATTATTGTTTTTAAAAATTTAGTTTATGGGTTTAAGTGTTTGCCTGCATATGTATTTGTGCACCGTGTGCAATGCCTGGTGCCTGCAGAGGCCAAAAGAAGGCACTGGATCTCCAGAAACTAGAGTTACAGGTGGTTGTGAGCTACCATGTAGGTGCTGGGAATTGAACCTGGGTCTTCTAGAAGAGCAGCCTGATGGGGTTTTTTTTGGTGGCACTCTTGCCCCAAAGGAAAAGTCACAACACACAACAGAATCCACTAACAAGAGTTTTATCAAGACAAAGGGATAGATGTGATCAGGCCTGTGGAAGGACACGTGTGAGAAAAGAGACAGGGAACATGGTGCCGCCTTATAAAGGCCAGGATGCACCTGCGCACACAGGTCCACTCGCAGAGATCACGCAGTCACGTCCACGCAACTACATGACCGCATAACCATGGGGCATGGGTCACGCAGGACGTGACCTGGAAATGACTAGGTGGAGATGACTAAGTGGGGCGTGGTTGGAATTCCTATCACAGCCAGTGTCCTTAACCACTGAGCCATCTCTCCAGCCATAGTTTTTATTTCTTATTTTATGTGTATGAGTGTTTTGTTTGCATGTATGTCTGTGCACCACGTGCATACCCGGTGTCCATGGAGGTCAGAAAGGGCATCAGGTCCCCTAGAACTGAAGTTACAGAAGGTTGTGAACCACCCTGTGGGTGCTGGAAATTGAACCCAGTCTTCTAGTAGAAGAACCAGCACTCTTCACCAGTGAACCACCTCTCCGGCCCTGGGTATATGTCTTTTTATTATTTATTTATTTAAAAGATAGCTTTTCTCTATGTAGCCTAGCTGTCCTGTAACTCACTTTGTAGACCAGGAGGACCTTGAACTCACAGAGATCCACCTTCCTCTGCCTTCTCCTGTGTACTGCTACACCTGGCTCTGGATGTAGGTCCTAAATCAGTAATTGGCCAGATGAGAAAGGAAGGCATTTGAAGTGTGTGTGTGTGTGTGTGTGTGTGTGTGTGTGTGTGTGTGTGTGTGTGAGAGAGAGAGAGAGAGAGAGAGGTGTGTAATGAACAGAAGGGGCATTTCAAGAGTAAGAGACATCTCAAAATTTGGAAACATCTCAGTTTTGTGTTGGAAAAAATAAACTGTTGTTCCAGGGTTAGCTCTTGGAGAATAGTAGAAGATGTGGTTTGAGAGAAACCCGTTGGCCTAATCTTAGCTCAGTCATTAGATACTTAGTTACTTAGATGCAAGTAAGTTCTTAGTTACTTAGATGCAAGTAAGTTCTTGGAACAATCAGTCTTCACTGAACTATCCTTGATGCTGAATAAAACTCAGCTGGGGTTTGAGAATTTGCCTAATTTGCATAAGGTCAGTTCTCAGCACCACAATAAACAAATAGATTAAAAACAACAACAAACTATTAGCATTACAATTTTGTGATAATTGTATTTATGTTCAGGAAGCTACAAGTTCCTGTTACCGTTTCTGAGTTATTTTATAATGCAGTAAACTATCCTACACGAGACTCAGGTGTTTGTTTTTCCTATAGGGATGACTCTTCAAGAATCTGTCAATTTGGATGCTCTCAATAAATATAAGCGGCATCTTGAAGATAAATATGTAAAACGTAAGCAAGCTATGTCAACAGAGTATGTACCAGCACAAAAGAAGGCTGACCTGGATGAAGAAATGGTTGTGTTACTAAAACGCCTAGATATAGCTGAGAGTCTGAACAAAGACCTGCAGTTTCGGTATGAACGTCGTAGGGCGGTTAGCTTCCCTTTACTCTCACACCTGATGTGTGAGCCTAGCTCAGGGCATTGTCGATGCTCTTCTTTTACAGCCATCAAAGACTGCAGGTTATTTCACACACACTTACTGCATGGATGAAGGATAACTTGAGAATCCCATTTGAAGACATCATGGAGAAAATTCAGAAAACCAATGCAATCTTCGGTAGCTCATCTGTCTTCTTAATTAGCACAAACAGTAGAAGGCACTTCCTCCAGAGCTAAAGGGTTTTCTAGGCTGAGTTTTAAAAATACACTTACTTCCTCTAGCTCTCTCTTACCCCATGGGTTTCTTCCTTCAGCACCTGACAGATGATTGCTGAAAGAGTAGACTTGGTAAGGCAAAGAGAGAAGACTAGGGCTGGAGAGGTCTCAGTGGGTCCCACAGGACCAGGGTTCAATTCCCAGCACCCACATGGCAGCTCACAACTCTGACTCCAGTTCCAGGGGATCTGACATCCTCACACAGACATGCAGGCAAAACACCAATGTATGTGAAATATAAATAAAATTTTTAAAAAGATTTAAAAAATGAGAAAGAGAGGAAAAAAAAAACAACAAAAACCTGAGTCTTAATCCTCAGAATGAGGCCAGGGAGGGAGGGAAGTAACCCCTTTTGAAACCAAAGTAGTAAGTTGTTGGCTCTAAACACGTTTAGTATTTCCTATTGCTAAACAGCCTTACATATCATTACAAATTGTCCTTTCAATATTTAGGTGATGAAATCATTGTTGATGAACTATTTGAAGATGACCCAAGCAAGACAAAAGAAGCTATAATTATGCTTTACTACATTGAAAAGCAAGTATTGTTGTACCCGTTTGAGGAAACCCCCAGAGACCACCAAGGAGCTGGTTTCCCATGCAAGCACATAAGGGTTCTTTTATTGTCAGGTTCAACCTGGGCCATCGCACAGCAGATGGAGGGAAATGTGGCAGTGGCTGCGGGCCCAAAAGAGTTTTTATAGGGAAAACCCAAGTTGGGAATTACATGCTTTGGCATTTGGGATTGGGTAGAAGGGATATGGGGCAAGATTTTTTTGAAACTATTGGTCTAGACTTTGGGCACAAAACCATAACTTACTGAGCAGGATTATCTGGGCTGCTCAGCAGAATTATCTAGATACCTTCAAGGGCCATAAGCTGCAGACAGAATGTCTGCAGGAGCATACTGCCCTGTATCTGTTCGAGTTGTCCTGGCACATTCCTGAGGTCCTTCCTGGAACTGAGAACAGCAGGTGGGCTAAGATGGTGGCCCTTCCCTAAGATGGAGTCTGTATTGCCTTCACATCATCATTTGTATTTTGGGTTTATTTGTTTTGGGTGGGTTTTTGTTGTTGCTTTTACTTTTGTTTGTTTTGAGATAATATCTCGCAACCCAAAAGCCTCACAGTGTAGTGCAAGACAACCTTGAACTACTGATCCTCCTGCCCACCTCCTGAATGCTGGCTGGCAGGTTTGTCTTTTGTAATTTAAAAATTCTGTTCCTGGAGGAGGAGTGGAATACTCCTGGATAGGGGTGGGTGGGGAGTGGTAGACAGGAGGTGGGGGAGCGAGGAGGGAGGGGAAACTGGAAAAAAGAAAAATCTGTTCCAGTTGACTTAGAAAAGTTAGAATTTTCTTTTTTTCATAGATTTTTATGAAAACCTATGAATTTATCATATAATTTTAGATTACTATAACTAGTGTAATCTTTTTGTAATATTTTTATTCTATGATATATTAAGTTACTTGTTACTATATATTATTTTTATTTTTTTTTTATTATTTTTATTTTTAATTACACTTTATTTACTTATTTTGTGTGGGTAGGTAGGGGGCATAGCAGTCAGAGGACAACTTGTAGGAGTGTTTGTGTTTTTTACCATGTGGGTCCTGGGAATGGAACTCAGGTTGTCAGGCATAGTGGGAAGCACCTGAACTCGATGAGCCATTGTATGGTCCTTGCACTAGTAGGATAGTTAGAAATCTCTTGCATAATTCCAGGTTACAGACCATCATTGTAGGGAGGTCAAGGGGCTAGGGACCTTACGCAACTGGAGTATTATGTCCACAGCCAAGATTGGTGAGCAGTGAGCTAATGCATGCTCTGTATGTATTATCTGAGAGAGATGTAAAGTATTCTACGGTTAATTTACAAGCTGTCAGAGTAATGTCATTGGCATATGTAACATCCAGTTTTCACTTGCTGATTTGTTTGTTGTTATGGTACAAAGAAGTGGGTAAAGACAATTCAAAGACTCTGTTATGTTCTTATACTCTGTATTTCTGTGAGTCTACTAGGATTTTAAATTTTAATATCATTTTTGAAATATTTATTATTTTTAAGTATGTCTACATACATGAGTTTGCACATGAATTTCAGTGCCCACAGATGCCAGAGGAGTCAGATCTAGATTTGGAGTTACAAATGGTTAGGAGCCACCCAGTGTCGATGCAGGGAATCAAACAGGTCTTCTGCAAGAGTAGTATGTGTTTTTAACCACTAAACCATCTCTCCAGCCCAAATTTAACATAATTTTTAATTTTTTGTGTGCATTTGTTTGTATGTGCATGCACAGGTGAGTGAGGGCACATGAGTGTAGAAGCCAGAAGTCAGTGTTGAGTGTCATTCTTCAATTGCTTCTTCATCTAATTTATTTACTTATTTATATTATTAATGTGGGTGGAGGTCCCTGGAAAACTTTGTGGAGTCAGGTCTTTCCATCCCCCTTTACCTGGGTCACCAAGCTTCACCGAACACTGAGGGGTCCTCTGCCTTGTCAGCGTAGGGACAAGAAGTACGTTAGTGGGTGCTAGGTGGCAAACAGTTCACAGACTAAGCCGTTTCTCCAGCCGACTCCAGCTACTATGGAGTTTTCATAGCACTACTTCAGGTTTTCATATGAGAGGAAAACCTTTGCTAAGGATCAGAGTCTTTTTGTTTGTTTGTTTCTTTGTTGTTTTTGAGACAAGGTTTCTCTGTGTAGCCCTTGCTGTCCTAGATCTCGCTCTGTAGACCTTGCTGGCCTCCAGCTCACAGAGATGCACCTGCTTCTGCCTCCCGAGTGCTGGGATTAAAGGTGTGCTCCACGTCCCCAAGGTCCACAGTCTTAAACATTTTGCTTCCTGTTACTTTGGTGTTCCCACTTTGTTCAACCCTTCGTCACGCTGTGTGACTCCTCTTTTCCTAAGGGCTGTGTGGAGGAGGAAGAGGGAAGGCTTCAGGAGCTATGATCTCTGCTTGCAGTCATGGGGAGTGTGATACGACAGAGAAGCGTCTGCTTCTGAACTCCTCCTGGTACTCTCTCTGCGCTGCATCTGTGTTCCATTATTTCCTCAACTCTAAGCGGACAGCTCTTTCCTGGTGATCTGTGAGGAAAAGAAGCCCAACTCAGTATAAATTGACTTCTGTTCTTCCTTCCTCTTTTCTATGTGGGACCTGTGGGGACAAAGTTCAGGGTCAGGTTCAAAGTTATTCAGAAGGTGAGAATTTAACCCTAGACAAACAGGTCAAAACAACCCTAGAACTCTAGAGAAGAACTGAATGGATAAATCTAATCATAACTTACAGGATTACTTTTGTTTTCCACTGTACCATTGTACTTAATTTCTAATATTTGGTTTTTGTGTATCATTGAAATGTGTTTTCAATGTAGGTTCAATGAATTAATCTCTCTTGGTGAATATGAGCAGGCAGCTTGTTTTGCAGCAAACAGTCCAAGAAGAATTCTTCAAAATATTGGTACAATGAATAAATTTAAGGGTAAGCAAGTTTTTCTGAAATACATATGCAAATTATACTTTACTTTTTCTTAATAGAATGAAATACTAGGAGTTTAATTCAATTTTCTAAATTAAATTATGAAATATTTCATATACAGAAAAGCATGAGAAAACATAGTATTAATATACTCATCGTCAAGATTTTATAATATTAATTTTTGTCAAATTTGCTCCATATCCTTTTATTTTTATTATTTATTATTATTATTATTATTATTATTTTTGTTTTGTTTTTTTTCGAGACAAGGTTTCTCTGTGTAGCTTTGGTGCCTGTCCTGGAACTCACTCTGCAGCCCAGGCTGGCCTTGAGCTCACAGAGATCTGCCTGCCTCTGCCTCCAGAGTGCTGGGATTAAAGGCATGCGCCACCACGCCCGGCGCTCCATATCCTTTTAAATAAGCTTTTTTTGTGTGGTAAATTGACATACATAAAATAAATCATACATTTTTGGTGTATGATACTAAGTATAAAACACAAGGTTTCATACATGCTAGGCAAGTACTCTACCACTGAGATACACCCCAGCCCAAATTCTACATATAAAGTATGTAATTTTTTGCCGGGCGGTGGTGGCGCACGCCTTTAATCCCAGCACTCGGGAGGCAGAGCCAGGCGGATCTCTGTGAGTTCGAGGCCAGCCTGGGCTACCAAGTGAGTCCCAGGAAAGGCGCAAAGCTGCACAGAGAAACCCTGTCTCGAAAAACCAAAAAAAAAAAAAAAAAAAAAAAAAGTATGTAATTTTTTTTAAGAGATTTACTTATTTATTATGTATACAATGTTCTGCCTGCATGTATGCCTGCACACCAGAAGAGGGCACTAGATCTCATTATAGATGGTTGTGAGCCACCATGTGATTGCTGGGAATTGAACTTAGGACCTCTGGAAGGGCAGCCAGTGCTCTTAACCTCTGAGCCATCTCTCCAGCTCCTAAAGTACATAATATGCTAAGACTGACAGATGTACTTGCCCATGACATTGTCATATGGGCATACCCATGACATCATCACCACAAAGGTCCCTCATGTCCATTGACAGTCTTCCCATTCCTCACACCAACTATTGTCCACAGTCCCAGACTCCATGCAACCACTAGTTTGCTTTCAGTAACCATAGATAAGTTTTTTCTATAAATAGAGCATGCAGTAGGCATTATTATACTATAATTTATAATTAATAATAACAATTATTATTATTATTTGGGGTGCAGGGCCTCACTATCAGGAAATATGGAACTCTAATAGCACCGTGACAAGCAGACAAGCAGGGGAAGGAGGCCATAAATAAACAAGTAGAATATTTCTAGAAGTAACCCCCCATGTCCCCTTCCAGCTGACCTGCCTCTAGGACATGTCCCAGGCAGGCCCTGGACATGGGCTGCCAGCCAGTCAGCCCACTCTTATTTGTCTGTGCTGACCAACCCAAAATGAGGGGAAGGGAATTCATCCCAGGCCACCAGAAACCCTTGAAACCTGGAGCTCTCATGGGATTTTGCCTTCTAAATCCCAAATTTGGTTTCTAAATAATTGAGGAAAACACAAATAAATGGAAAGATACCTTCTGCTTGTGGACTGAAAGATTAAATATTATTGAGACACCAAGAATAAAAGCAAGGCCAGGCAGTGGTGGCACACGCCTTTAGTCCCAGCACTTGGGAGGCAGAGGCAGGCGGATCTCTGTGAGTTCGAGGCCAGCCTGGTCTACAGAGCGAGTTCCAGGAAAGGCACAGAGAAACCCTGTCTTGAAAAACAAAAAACAAAACAAAACAAAAGAATAAAAGCAGTATAGAGATTCAATATATATCCATAACCCAATAGCTTTTTCATGAAATTTAATAAGAATCTTAAAATTTGTACAGGCCTCAAGTACCCACATCAATACTGAGAGAAGAAAAAGTTGGCGATGTAACACATCCTAATTCAAAATTATATTATGAAGCTACAGTAATAAACAGATAAGTGCTGGTTGTGATGGCACATGCCTGTAATTTAGCTACTGAGAAGGCAGAGGCAAGGAAATCACAGGTCCAAGGCCAGCCTTGGCAACTTAGTATGACCCTTGTCTCAAAATACAATTTAAAAGGGTTGGAGGTGTAGCTCTGTGGTAGAGTGCTTACTTAGCATGTGGAAGGCACTGGTTCAATTCCTAATACTGCAAAATCCCTTGAAAAACCAGACACAGAGGCCGGTGAAATAGAAAAGAGAGGCCCCAGATAATCCCAAACATAATGGTCAGTTAATTTTCACTAAGACAGCGAGAAAACACAATGAGACTGATAAAGTGCTCCACAGGTGAAGGTGCTTTGCCCCCAGGCTGAGGAGGACCTGAGTTCGTTTCTTTACTCGTGTACTTCCCTTCTTCTGAGTCTTGGGATGTGCCACTGTAGGGTGGGGAGGTCTTGCTCAAGGATTGTGGTGATATCTGCCTCAGTGTGGCTGTGTTAATTGTTGACTGCTTCGTCTTTGCTCTTTAGAGTCTGTCTTTACTAGAGACTTCTACCTTATTAATTCAGAAAGTATTGCTTCAGTTGGCTTCTTAATTTAATGTTTTTCATACATGAATGCTGTGTATCATTTCCACTCCACACTCTCCCGTTTCCTGTTCCTCTCACGTCCCTCTCTTCCTCTCAAATTCATGGCCTCTTCTTGTTTTGTTTTGTTTTTCAAGACAGGGCTTCTCAGTGTATCCTTGGCTGTCCTGGAACTCGCTCTGTAGACCAGGCTGTCCTTAAACTCACGGAGATCTGCCTGCCTCTGCCTCCCAAGGGCTGGGATTAAAGGTTTGCACCACCAGTGCTCGATTTATACAGATTTTTTTTTTTTTAGGCAACCATATTGTTGAGATTCTATGGGTGCAGCTTCCCTGTAATGTCTAGAAGACAGTATCAGCTGAAGGAGTCCTGGCCTTGGCTCTTATAATCTTCCTGTACCCTCTTCTGTGATTTCCTAAACCTTTGAGGTTCTGTTGTAGATGTATCATTTGAGGTTAGGCACCTTAGTCTCCTTTTCTCTGCATTTTGACCAGTTGTGGATCTCTGTAATAATCTCCATCTGCTGCAAAATGAAGTTACTTTGATGAGGATGAGAGCTGCACTTATCTGTATGGATAAATATTAGAATATAGTTAGAAGTTCTATTGGTTTATGAAAATAGCTATAGTAGGGTCTCTTCTAAGGTCTATGACCTCTTCAGCCATGGATAGTTGTCTTGATTACAGCTTGCCTTCTATGAACTGGGAAATATTTGAGCTTCTGGTGGCTCTCAGTAACTTTGGCATCCTTTGACTTGCAGACAAATCACTGCAGTCTCTGCCTGCATCCTTATGTAGCCTACATTATGATGACATATAGTGGTACATAGCAATACGTAATGATACTGTTATAAAATGTAAAATGTATTCAGTAGCCTGGCGGTGGTAGAGCATGCCTTTAATCCCAGCACTTGGGGGGCAGAGGCAGGCGGATCTCTGTGAGTTCGAGGCCAGCCTGGTCTACAAAGTGAGTTCCGGGACAGACTCCAAAGCTACACAGAGAAACCCTGTCTTGAAAAACCAAAAAAAAAAAAAAAAAAAGAAAGAAAGAAAGAAAAAAAAAAAAGAAGAGGAAAAAAAAGTATTCTGTATTCATTGTTAAAGGGTTAGAAACTGTACAGAAATTAAAGTAGTAATATGAAATAAGAAAAGGCAAACTAATTCTTAATATATTTGACTCAAACTTCTCATTCTCTTTTTCTTTTCATAGCTATTGGAAAAATTAGAGGAAAGCCTCTCCCATTACTCTTGTTTTTTGAGGCTATATTTAGTACGAGTCATGCTTTCAAACGTCCTATTAATGCTGACCTAACCCTGGAGGGAATCAAATGTGGACTGTCTGAAAAACGGCTTGATTTAGTTACGCACTGGGTCACCCAGGAAAAGTAAGCAATTTGAAGCTGCAAACTTAATTTTAACGTATAATTAATATAATTAATATAATAATACAATATAATATAATAATTAATCAATAATTAATTGTTTTTCTCTGACTTAGAAGAGTTTCCCAGTATAGCCCAGACTGACCTCCAGGTCTAACCTCTGCCTCAGTCTCCTACCTGTTGGGATTATAGGCTTGTCACACTACATCCAGGTAGTGGTTTGATATAAACACTGTGTTTTAGGATTTACTTCAGTTCTCTGTTGAAATTAATTAGAAAGTACCTATGAAGGCCCAGTCACAAAGAGCTCAGACTCAAAGTCACTTCAGTGAAGTTCACAAGATAAAACATGGCAGTTTAACAGTAGATGGAAGTTGAGTGACATGGACACAGAAGGATTAGTCAGTAGCACACTTCTTGGGAGGGAAAAGGCAAGGAACCCAATTTTAGACAGGCTATGGACACATGTATTATAACCTAGGAGACAATACATGTTGAGGAATAACATCAGCCATGTGTTGTTGATTGTTGTAGATGAATTTCTAAATGGTCTTACTAAATAAAAAACATGGAGCCAAATATGGGGTGAAAGCCTTAGAGATCAGGGAAATAGGATAGCCACCAACCAGCCTTATCTCACCAGCTCTGCAGCTTCCAAATGCCACAACTTCCTGTCTACCCAGGCTTTTATTGCCTTGCTGTTCTGCCCTCTCATTGGCTATCTTAGCCCAACTACCTCACTTCCTTGTCACTAGCTGTCTGTACAGGCCTACGTTTGGTACTGGGATTAAATGCGTGTGCCACCACGCTTGGCTGTGTTCCCCAGTGTGGCCTTGAACACACAGAGACCCTGCCTGCTAAGTGATAGGATTAAGGGTGTGTGCTACCACTGCCTGACTTTTGTGTTTACTTAAAATGGCTTGCTGTTTCTTCTGATCTGCAGGCAAACTTTATTTATTAATATACAAATAGAATGTCACCACATTTCAGCACAAATAAAATATCACCACAGATTGTTTATTTACTCTTAACTCTTTTGGCTTTTTTAGGGGGGGCGCCACCCAGCTCCCAAATAAATCGCACAGGGAGGCTTATTCTTTCTTATAAATGTCTTGTTTCTTGCTTGCCAGCTTTTCTTAACTTTAAATGATCCCATCTGTAGCTAGAGTTTTCCTGCCTGGCCCACAGTCAGGACAAATCTCTCTCACCTGCCAGTCCCATAGCCGCTCAGACCCGACCAAGTAAACAGAGACTTATATTGGTTACAAACTGTATGGCCGTGGCAGGCTTCTTGCTAACTGTTCTTACAGCTTAAATTAATCCATTTCCATTAATTTATACCTTGCCACATGGCTCGTGGCTTACCGGCATCTTCACATGCTGTTTGTCATCATGGCGGCTGGCAGTGTCTCTCTGACTCAGTCTTCCACTTCCCAGCTTTATTCTCCTCCTTGTCCCACCTATACTTCCTGCCTAGCCAATGGCCAATCAGTGTTTTATTTATTGACCAATCAGCAACACATTTGCCATACAGAACATCCCACAGCACCCATCCACCTTTTGCCTCTGGGCGTTTTCCTTTTCTTACTTCTGTATATTTTACTTTCACTCTTAGTCCATGGCTGGCTGTGGCTGGCCCCTAGAATCCTCCTCTCCATGTTCTCTTGCTCTTACTTCTTTTCCTCCCAGATTTCTCCTCCTATTTATTCTCTCTGCCTGCCAGCCCTGCCTATCCTTTCTCCTGCATCGCTATTGGCAGCTCAGCTCTTTATTAGACCCTCAGGTGTTTTAGACAGGCACAGTAACACAGCTTCACAGAGTTAAACAAATGCAACATAAAAGAATGCAACACAGCTTTGCGTCATTAAACAAATGTTCCACAGCATAAACAATTGTAACACATCTTAAAATAATATTCTACAAAGGCTGTGGTTACACTGAGAAGTTTTGAAGAACACTTAAGCCAGCAGGTGGCGGTTTCTTGAAGTCAGGTCTCCCACAGACTGGTAGATTTGTGATGGTGTGTGTGGGCTTGCCTATGTAGAATCAGAGCCTGAGATAGTGTGGGGATGGGGATGGATATGAGACTCTGGGCTTCCTCTTAAAGCTGAGTGCAGCCACACAGGGAAGGACGTAGCAAAGCCTTAGCTGCACTGAAGACAAAGCATGCTGGGAGCTGCTCTACCTTGAGGGATGGGCCCGGCCTTTCATACCTTTCAACTTGGTTGGTTTATAAAGAAAAATTAAGACTTCTGGTTCTTGAACTACCCATCCACTCTCTACCCCAATAAAAACAGATTCCTTATTTACAGCATGTTCAATTATGAGACATTCTGTAGAGGTATCAGAATTTCATTTAATGTTACCTTCATTTTGTTAGAAGTATACAAACACCACCAGTATTATGTAAGCCCTGCCATTTGGCATCCATTAATTAAAAACATAGCTAAAGCAAAATTTCCATATAAGCACTAATTAGAAGTGATTTTTCTGGCCATGCCCAAATGTTCTTTTGGCTTATGCTGAGAACCAAGTACTGTTACTGAGATAGTACAGATGGTTGGTTCACTGTAGTTGTATATAAGCAGGCACATTTAAATACTGTAGTGAATGAAGTGGTTTAGTTGAACTGTTTGAAAAGAACTGCTTCCTCAGTTTCTCCTAATGGAGAGTGTATCCTTCCCCACTTTCCTTCTTATTATCTGTAACATTAAAACAAACAGGTGCTGACACACTTAGAGCTGAATGTTGGGTTGGATGGAGCACATGAGGACTTCAGGAAAACAGGATATGATGGGGAAATGGAGTTTTCCTTTTAGTGCAAATGTTTGCAAATCTAATTATGAGCCAAAATTGTTCCCACTGTCTAACGTCTAATAAATTAATATGTTCTACAGAATCTAAACAGACTTTAGGTAACCTATGAGAGCAGTGAGATCTCCCCTGAGTTGCATGCAGAATTTGCCTACCTGGCAATTTTAATTCTGTCAGTCTTTGCAAGGGAGTTTAAGTCTTGCTTATAGACTTTAACAAAGGAGTAAGTTTTGGTTGTTTTTGGTTTTTGCCAATCTCAAATGCGTTTAATTTCTACCTATTTATCAATTGCTTATTGACTTACAATTCTTATAGGTTATTTATAATCCATTCTTAGAGTTCTGAATATTCAGGTATTTGAGTCTCAGCTACTCATCAGGAGTTCCCTGACATGTGCCTTGACGATCTGCTTGCTTCAGGCTGACATTTTCTGAGAAGGCTGGGGATATTATTTTTGCTTATGGGGAGCAGAACACATACCAGAAGCCCAGCTGTTTGGCTTTAGCTCAGCTCATCTACAATGAATGTGGTCTACACAAGAAAGCTCTTCTTTGCCTGTGTAAACAGGGTCGGATTCATGAGGCCATGGAACATATACAACAGTTCAAGGACTTTACTTCTGGTAAGTAAAAAAGCCTACTTACTTATATACAGTTTAGCTCTGAAATCTTTCATAGGAACTGGCATTGTTTGAAACTTACCTTATAAAGTATTTTTATACATACTGATAGGAGATTACTTTTGTAAATTTATATGAAAATAAGATAGAGTTAATTGAATTTCATGATATACATTATGCCTTTTCTCAAAGGAAACATTTGATGTGTGGCTGCATGTGCAGGGAAACATGCTGGCATGCTGGGCAGATGCAGGGGCAGCGGCGGGTGGGACACACTGTGCAGGCATGGTGGCAGCGATGGTGGCGGTGGACATTCATTCACAACCCAGGTGCTTCATCTGCACAGAAAGAGTTTATTATAATATAAAGATAAGGAGATAGAAAGACAGAAAGGAGAGAGAGGAAGAGAAGAGAAAAGAAGAGAGGAAAAAAGCGGAGGTGTGCTTACCTCATGGTGGGGAAGAAAGAGAGCAGAAGAGGAGGAGTTTTTCCTTAAAATGAGACTTTTACATCAGGATGCAGGGCAGCGCCAAGGGCGGGTCGGAATACTAACATTGGTTTCCAAAGTGCAGGTCAGAATATTAACATTCCTCCATTTTGATTATTATAGAAGGGTGAGTTATTGATAGCAAGTGGAGGAACAAGGGAGCTCAGCTCCTGAGACTGCTTCAAGCTGACAAAGGGAGAAATGGGGGGGGGGGGGGACCGGGAGTCATGCACACACTTAAGTAAATAATTTTAAAAAGCTGACTACTTTATTTTTTTATTACTTAAAAACAGACAACATAAACCCCACCTAGTGTTGGATAAAATGTTACAAATTCTTATAACTGTAGTACTTTTCAGGTATGAAAACAGAGTCACAAAGATGGAATGACTAGTGAGTCTGTGCTTAGAAGTCAAGTTCCTGATCGCCAACACAATTCTTTTCCTGAGTATTATCTAATATATATTTCAAATACTCCTTGCTCTGAATTGTCCTTTCTTTTTTCTTATTTTGTTTAAGATTGAAGAGAATACTGTTGAGTTTCCATTGGGATCAAAGGGGGACTTAGAAGTATGGGAAGGGTGTTGCCTGGCAGGAGCACACATGGCTGTTTATGTCTAGTTGATTTGTCACAACAGGATGGTCATTTGGTTTTTCATTTTCACTATCAGATGACCTGATACAACTAATAACAGTGTGTCCCCAAACTGAGTTAATTATATGTCTTACTCAAGAAAGGAATGGAAAACCACCACTTTTATCTTTTGGGCTTGCTGTCCTTCATCTGTTTTCTGTGGATATGAAAAAAGTTTGCATCAAGTTACTCCAGGAAATCAGTAAAGGTGGGAAAGGTAAGTGTATCCATAATGCACCGAGGGATGAACAAGAGATTCTGCTTGGCGTGCTGTAGACCAAGAGCGAGTCAGACTTTGAATTTTCCACTACTCTCTCTGTGTTCGGTCTGTAGATTGTGGTTTGTGGCCTGTCAGCTGTCTGGTGTGTGTGTCTGATCTGTCTGCCCTTGTTGCTTGTCTGTCCCTAACAAAGGGCTTTGCTCCATGGTGTAAGAAAGGAATGAAAATACTTTTCTTTTTTCTTTTTCAAGACAGGGTTTCTCTGTTTAGTCCTGGCTGTCCTGGAACTCACTTTGTAGCCCAGGCTGACCTCAAACTCAGAGATCCGCCTACCTCTGCCTCCTGAGTGCTGGGATTAAAGGTGTACACCACCACTGCCTGGTGAAAATACTTTTCTAAAGAAATCTTTAACAGAGTTTTTCAATTGAATAAATTACTTTACTGATCCAGAACAGCACTCAAAACCACACTCATATATTATCATATCATATCCAGATATTGCTTCCAACATTTATGGGTTATTTGTTTTGTTTAAGATTGCTAAGTATGGATTATCAAGTAAGAAGAAATTCCGTAGTGTAATACTGTATTTTTTTTCCCAGATGTAGTAGAGCATCTTCTGATGAGTGATTCATTTTGCTCCTTGGAAAAGTGGCAAGAAATAGCAGATATCTGTTTACAGAATGGCTTTGAAAATTTGTTTAATGACATCATGTTCATTCTTCGATCCCAAGCTGGAGTTTCAGAAATTTCTGAAGATGATTCTATCAACTTAATGGAGCATGTTTTTTGGTAGTTCTATATTTTAGCCAGCTGAGGGCGCTTGTACAACATTTTTAGGCATTGGCTGGGCAAACTGGTTTTAGCATAGTTAACAAAAATAAATGTTGAGTATGACACTCTCAGCAATAAGTCACACTTCTGTTACGATGTTTAGGTTTGATCTTGATATACCGAAACCATTGCTTCCTTTCTACCATGTTGTCACTTCTTATAGCAAATCCAAGAGTATAACTTTGCATAAAGATAGCATTTCTACTTTAGAACAAGCTAATGTCCAAATAGTCACACTTCTTGTCTAATTTGATACCTAGAACTGAAGAAGGTGTGGGTAATGCTCTACCACTACACTGACTTTCTAAATGTCAAATATTGCAAGCTTGCCTCAACAACAAAAAAAGTTGAATATTATTTGAAGACTGGATATGCTGGGAAGAAAACGACTCATTTTGTTCTACTGATTCAAAGATGGCTCCATTCTTTGATGTCTGTCTGTATCTCCATGGAGACACACACACACATTGCATGCATGTACACTAACTTTTGCCATTTATATATGGTGAAGGTCAGACTCCTACTGAAGTTTAGAATCTTGGCATGTTTTTACTTAAAGGGAAGACTAAACAGATTGCAAAAAAGTGAACTTTGGGTACTCTTTTTGGTTTTTCGAGACAGGGTTTCTCTGTGTAGCTTTGTGCCTTTCCTGGAACTCGCTTTGTAGACCAGGCTGGCCTCGAACTCACAGAGATCCGCCTGGCTCTGCCTCCCGAGTGCTGGGATTAAAGGCGTGCGCCACCAAAGCCCTGCTGAACTTTGGGTACTCTTAGGCATGGAAAATATATCTTTTTAAAAATAATTTTGTACTGGGTACAATGGTAAATGCTAAAATCCTAGCTCTCAGGAGGCTGAGGCAGAAAGGTGATGAGTTTGAGGTCAGCCTGGACTACATAGTGAGAGTCTTTCAGAAACCAAACAAAATAGAATAAAACAAGAACAAAACAACCCCCCTTAAGACAACAAGAGGTTTTTGTTTTTTGTTTTTTTTTTTTAATAATTCCAAGTATTTGAGTAAGTATTTGAAATTTTAGAATTCTTTACTATGGGTAGATATGAAATTCAAAATATTTAAAAATCGGTATGGCATGGGTACCAATCAAGTAGAATAGATATTCAACTAATCAGAACAGCTTCCAGTTCTTGTGGTGAATCACTGAGCTGTGTCTCCAACCCCTGGTTCTGAAATGGAGCCTATGCAAACTCAAGTTGCCTTTAAACTTGGTGTATAGCTGAGATTGGTCTAAACTTGCAATTGTCCTGCCTCTGCCTCCTGAAAACTGGGATTGAAAGTGTGCTTCATCACATTTTACAGAGTTGGTTCCTTGTGAAGGGCCTAAGGAGTCTTTTGTGTGTCTCTTCACATCCTCTTCTCTTCATGTGTATCTGTGTCCATATTCTGTCCGTATAAATATACTAGTTAGCTGGACATGGTGGCACTCCACAGGCTGAGGCGATCAAAGTTACACACACAGTCACAGGCCAGCTTCAGAGTGAGGCTATCTCGTGTGTGTGTGTGTGTGTGTGTGTGTGTGTGTGTGTGTGTGTGTGTGTGTGTGTAATATATAAAACACATATAATATGTAAATATATAATAATAAACATATATAGGTATTACATCTCATGTATATATATGTGTTACATCACTCATACTGAATTAGAGTCCACCCATTTTAATTTGACTATGTCTTCAAATAAGGTCACATTCTGTTGTACTATGGGTTAAGACTTCAGCATGTAAATTTGGGAAGAACATAATCCAGACACAAACATTTTCCATTATATCACCAAAATAAAAAATAGTACCAGGCAGCGGGGGCGTGGCCTCAGACAGAAACCCTGCAAAAGTCAGAGGAGACTGACAGCAATGAGGTTTTAGAAGGAGAGGTGGCTCAGCAGTTAAGAGCACTGGCTGCTCTTCCAGAGGACCTGGGTTCAATTCCCAGCACCCATATGGCAGCTCACAACTGTCTGTAACTCCTGTTCCAGGGAACCCAGCACCATTGGCACAATAAATGCATATAAAATTAAGTTAAATTTAAAAAAATAATAAAAAAAGATGTTTTAGAAGGCTGACATCACCAAGACAGGAAGGGGGCCCCTCAAGCACAGACCCCGGGTTGCACATTCTACAGAAGCAGAGATGCACCCAAACAACTGGAACCACCTGGGTGATGCCCTACAAAGACCTGGGTTCAAGGGGGTACTGGATCACCAAGAGAAGTTTCTAGAATATTTATATCATGCACAGGAACACTGGCCTGGGGAAAGTGAATGTGCAGAGGGTCTGTCTTTTCTCTCCTCCATGAGCTTTCCCACTGCTCTCCAAAGCAAAGACAGAATCCAACAGGAACCCTTTGTGCTGACTATTTAGAAGCAAGAGGCAGGTCCTCCTGGACAGGCCACCACTGGGCCTCAGGGGACCTAGAGAGGGGTAACAGCTTTAGACCTGGGTTACCCCGCCCTGGATACCCAGACTGGATATCAGGAAGTTAGGGTTGAGCAAGGTATCCCCACAAAACTGCAGCTCTGGAACTGGTGGAATGCCTATCCAGCCACCATGCAGGAAACCCTGGGTTCCATCCTCAGCACTCATGAACCAGACATGGTGATACATTCCTGTGATCCCAGCACTTGGAGGCCAAGTCAGGAAGATCAGAAGCTCGAAGGCATTTTTAATGTATTTTCATATTAAGCATATTTTATTTTATTTTTTTATTTTTATTTATTTTATTTATTTATTTTTTTTTTTGGTTTTTCGAGACAGGGTTTCTCTGTGCAGCTTTGCGCCTTTCCTGGGACTCACTTGGTAGCCCAGGCTGGCCTCGAACTCACAGAGATCCGCCTGGCTCTGCCTCCCGAGTGCTGGGATTAAAGGCGTGCGCCACCACCGCCCGGCGTAAGCATATTTTATATTAAATAAATTTAATATATTCTATAAGTGAATTTGAGGTCAGGAAGATCAGAAGTTCAAAGTCATTTTTAATATGTTATATCTAGTGAATTTGATGTCAGCCTGGGCTATAGTGTCAAAAAACCAAACCAAAACTCAATTACCATCTTGATTATGCCACAACACTGGGGAAGGAGGCAGCAGGGCTGTGGTCTCATGGGGACACACTGGGTTCCAACCCAGGCTGGACACACCAGGACCACGCTGCTTAGGGCAGGTCGCCTCTAAAGCTGTGTGTGACCTGTCCCTCACAGTGTTGTAAAGACTTGAAGAAATGAGGCCCCCAGTCATGCATAGCCTAGGTGCTAACCGTAGATCAGAAAGCATACCAACCACTTCTGCTCAAGAGAGGACAGGTTCTGGGTGGACGGTCCAAGAAGGACTGAGAACAGACACAGCTAGGCTTTAGCCCAAGGTGTCTGTCCCCAAAGTGTCACATTGCCCCTGCCTACCCCTTATAGCCCCAGCCTCTGTCTTTCTTCCCCCAGGGGCCAAAGGAAGCAAACACATTCCCACAACCCCAGCAGAAGCTGTCCAACTGCAATAGGCCCCTTACGCATCTGCCGCGTCTGGGACAGGCTCACTCCTAAAGAGTGCTCCTTGTGGCCACTTACACAGGAAGAAAACCTGGCTCTGACCTGGTGAGGGTTGTCCCTCAAAGCACGGGTTTCCTGCGACTTGAGACCACGTGTCACCAGGTCTGAAAAAGTGCTTCCCTGGGGGGCAAATGGACCAGCCTCTCCAGCAGCAAAGCTGAGTCTACAGGGGACGAGGAGGAGGAGGAGGAGGAGGAGGAGGAGGAGGAGGAGGAGGAGGAGGAGGAGGAGGAGGAGGAGGAGGAGGAGGAGGAGGAGGAGGAGGAGGAGGAGGAGGAGGAGGAGAGGAGAGAAGAAGAAGAAGAAGAAGAAGAAGAAGAAGAAGAAGAAGAAGAAGAAGAAGAAGAAGAAGAAGAAGAAGAAGAAAAATAAAGCAACGGGGGCGGGGGGGGGGGGGGAAGCCCTTAACCACAAAAGATGGGACCACTCCCAAGATGCAATTCCACATCCAATCACAGGATGTCACCACAGCCAGAGATTCCTAGTGGCAGCAGCCTTGGCTAGAGATGCCTCCAAAGCACCCAGCAACAGTTTCCAAAGCACAGGGGACTTACACACCCTGGAGTTGAGAGCTCTGCCTGGGAAGCAGTTTCAGGAAACACTGGATCTAGGGAGAAGCCTCCCATAAGACCAGGGTGAGTCAATAAATCTTGGCAACGGAAATGCCAAAACTAAAAAAAAAAAAAAAAAAGGACCAGGCACAAAATAACTCTTCAATGAACAGTTAGTTGGTGATTGTAGCTAAAGTTTTCCTGCTTGGCCCAGGGTCAGGACAAATCTCTGTCACCTGCCAGTCCCACAGCTGCTCAAACCCAACCAAGTAAACACAGAGACTTATATTGCTTACAAACTGTATGGCCGTGCCAGGCTTCTTGCTAACTGTTCTTATATCCTAAATTAATCCATTTCTATAAATCTATACCTTGCCACGTGGCTCGTGGCTTACCGGCATCTTCACATGCTGCTTGTCATGACGGCAGCTGGCAGTGTCTCTCTCCCACCTTCCTGTTCTCTCAATTCTCCTGTTAGTCCCGCCTATACTTCCTGTCTGGCTACTAGCCAATCAGTGTTTTATTTATTGACCAATCAGCAACACATTTGACATACAGACCATCCCACAGCAAACAGAGACCCTGTCTCAACAAATATTAAAGTGGGGAATGACTCATTTCTACCTCTGACCTCCACATGCACACACAAAATAAAGATATTCTTATTTATGTGTTTCATTCTGTTTCTTTTTGTCAGCATTTACTGGTACTCCCACAGCCTTATAAATCCATGTCAGTACCTCCTTGCTGTTCCCAAGTATCTATGGGGGTATGGTACTAGTGTAAGTTAGTAAAACGCCACACTCAGGCATGGGAACCAGGACTTACTGAAAGGGACAATTAAGGTAGGTGCCAGCCATCAAGCAGGATTATGGACTTGACATGACTCAGAAGCTGGAAAGTAGATTCGACATTTGTAGTCCTGACTTCTCAGAGTCCTTGGTGGGAGTGAGCTTGGCTGGCATCCACTCATGGATATCTTTGGCTTTGTTATGGTGCAGCAACAAGGCTCTTATCTCTGGGCTTCCAACCTTCAGAACTATGAGCCCTAAATTTCTGTTCACTCTAACTTACCCAGACAGCCACATACATCACAGCATCACAGAGTCAACCACGTCACTCTTCAGCTCTGGTTGTGCATGTCCAGAAGGGCAACAACAAATCTCTGTCTGCTCCCAGAACTTTTCTTTTTTCTTTTTTTTTTTAAGATTTATTTATTTATTATGTATATGGAGGAGGGCACCAGATCTCATTACAGATGCTTGTGAGCCACCATGTGGGTGCTGGGAATTGAACTCAGGACCTCTGGAAGAGCAGTCAGTGCTCTTAACCTCTGAGCCATCTCTTTTGCCACACACATTCACATTTGCCCTCCCATGGGGAAGGAACCAAAGCCTTGCACATGCAGAGTATGTGCTACCTCTGAGCAACAACCTCAACCCCATGTTCATACATTTTCAGAGCACAGAACCAATTGTGAGAAATTAGCCTTCACCAGGGGACTGGACTTGCAAGCATCTTAGTCAAGCTGCTTAAAAAGCCAGGCATTTACAAGGTGATGCAAGGGTTTTGAATTGCAGGCTTGATCAGTCCCTTTATGAGTTAGCTGGAAATGTCTGCATGCTATGCTTTTGCCCAGCTGCCTGGGAAGTGAGCTTGGCCACTGAGCATAACAGCTAAAAGGTTTGCACTGACATAAGGTCATTAAAGAGGAAGGAAAAGCCCTTGCAGTGAGACCCCAGGACCTCCAGGTTGCAGTACAGAAGCAGTGTTGCCCCAACATTGGAGAATATCACCTCTGTCTCTCTGATTGTTAGTGCTCCCCCTCCCTTTCTTTCTTATTCTTTTTTGTTTGTTTGTTTTTCAAGACAGGGTTTCTCTGTGTCACTTTGGAGCCTGTCTTGAAACTCATTCTGTAGTCCAGGCTGGCCTTGAACTCACAGAGATCTGCCTGCCTCTGCCTCCCAAGTGCTGGGATTCAAGGCGTGCGCCACCACTGCCCAGTCCCTTTCTTATTCTTATGTATCTATTTTTTTTTCTAAGACAGGTTCTCTCTATGTAGCCCTGGCTATCCTGGAGCTCACTATGTAGACCAGGCTGGCCTCACACTCATAGAACTACGACTACCTCTGCCTCCTGAGTGTTGAGCTTGAAGGTGTGCGCCACCACCGCTAGCCACCACCGCTAGCCACCACCGCTAGCCACCA